CTGTGTCGGAAATAAATCATTTTGTTAGACCGCGAGTCCGCAAAAATTCAAATCTGACTTTAAAAAGCAATCAAGTAATGGCAGATGAATTTAAAAATTAAAAATAATTTTCTTTTTAGGACGCCCGACCAGTATCGATTTCTTTTCAAAAATCCGTTGTAAAATTTAGAAAAAAAAACAAAAAGTTAGTCGTTTGACGAATTAAACATTTCCAACGCACACCTCATGTATTTGACTATTGTACGTACGTCAAAATGTTATATAAAGGCAGATATTTAAATTGTAATTACTCTGATAATACTGCCATGGATGATATTATAGGACTTCCGACTATTTTCTGCAAGCTCTGTTTGTTGGCCGACCCTAAAACGCCTATGGCGTTATATTAAAACTTTTGTTCTATGCTCATTCATTGTAAAGCAGCGTTTAATCTAGAACAACGCGCTATTGCCAAACAATAGTGTTTAAATGTGTGATTTGCAGCTGCCATTTATATATGCGAAAAACAAATTACCTATACCGAATTTCATGTTACCTACGTCAAATAATAGAACTTGGGTATTTGGACTAATGGAACCGTTTTGCTTTGATCTACCTTTTCAAAAATTGTTTGTACCAAATTGAGCGTGGAAATGTCCGTTTTTGCTTCACACAAAGGTTAATAAATTAATAAATTCATATCAGAGCAGTAGTTTTAGCTTGTTTATTGTTAGGTAATTTAATTGTACCCTCGTCTGCTCAAACACTATCTTAAAAAACATTTTCTTAATTTTACAATGGATTTTTGAAAAGAAATCGATACTGGTCGGGCGTCCTAAAAAGAAAATTATTTTTAACTTTTAAATTCATCTGCCATTACTTGATTGCAAATCATTGATTTCTCATTGGAAATATTGTCCTCGAGGTGTATGTACCTACCTATAATCGGATGAAGAAACAATAAACGCAATGGACAATGTTGTCAAGTTTGAAGTCCATGAAAGTATATTTAGTTTCACCAAAACTACCCCGTCATGTCATGATGTACATATAGAAATAATTGTCTATGTATCATGTTAAATAACGCATAGCGCACTGAATCGTACCTATTTAAAATTGTCTAAATAAAACGCGCCATTACAGAAAAGGGAAGCTTTTGTTATACGCGTTCGCGTTTCAGTTCATTTCCCTCCTTTAAAGAAAACCCCCCATCTACAATTTTATGAGGCGCTAAATGAGATGATCAAACAACAAATTGGTAACTTGTTTGTCACATTACGGAGAGTTATGTGCTGGTATTCCACTCACAGTTAAATTTTGTCGGCATATTCAGGAATAACTTAAAAGGTGAAGGGTTGCAGTAGGGTTCACCAGACATATCGCATATATTTCCCTATAATTAAATCTCAAGTGCACGGGTTTTATTAGTGGACGATTAAAGATCGCTGGAATTTAGGTGTAGGAATTCTAAATATAAATTAAACCGTAAAAGTAATGATAATAATTTATAAACATTACGTTTCCACATATACTTCGGTATCTAATGATCCATTTGCACTTCCGTTACCTACCGAAACATTAATCATCCACGTGAACAAGAATACGTAGCTTTCACTTTACATCATCATCATGTAGTAGTAGTACACAATATTAATCTGCTAAAAAAAACTCTCTATCCTCATTATGCTTGATTATGTAATCAATCTTCTTGCACTAGCAAAATGATTGGCCATTATGGCAAACACATGGAGTTCATTTGAAATCTGTCGTGACTTGATGGATCTTTTAAGGTTAAATTTGAATTTTTGTTAAATTTTATGGAATTTGGCTTTTATATCAAAAAAAGGCAGTGTATAATAACCTTCCTTTTTTACAAAAAATCGAGTACACCAAAATTTCTCGGGAAAACACTTTTTCTTATTAATTTTGGGGCGTAGAATCCAAAACAATTCGTACTTTTTCGATTAGACTTCTCAATCAAAAGTTATTATTAATTTTGGTGCGTAGAATCCAAAACAATTCGTACTTTTTCGATTAAACTTCTCAATCAAAAGTTATAGACTAGAAACCAATTTCGAAAAAAAATTCAAAGGGCTGTAACTTTTGAACTAGTAGCCCAATCTTGGAACTGTTTGAAATTATGGATTCTACAGGCCATAATTCTATAAGAAAATTTTTATTCCGGGTCGATCTGAGACAATTTTTTTTTCGGGGCTCAAAAAAAGGCAGTGTATAACCTTCCTTTTTTACCAAAAATCGACTACACCAAAATTTCTCGGGAAAACACTTTTTCTTATTAATTTTGGGCGTAGAATCCAAAACAATTCGTACTTTTTCGATTAGACTTCTCAATCAAAAGTTATAGACTAGAAACCAATTTCGAAAGAAAATTCAAAGGGCTGTAACTTTTGAACTAGTAGCCCAATCTTGGAACTGTTTGAAATTATGGATTCTACAGGCCACATTCTATAAGAAAATTTTTTTCCCGGGTCGATCTGAGACAATTTTTTTTTCGGGGCTCAAAAAAAGGCAGTGTATAACCTTCCTTTTTTACCAAAAATCGACTACACCAAAATTTCTCGGGAAAACTCTTTTTCTTATTAATTTTGGGGCGTAGAATCCAAAACAATTCGTACTTTTTCGATTAGACTTCTCATATGCCTTTGACTGTCTCAGTTAAACTTATCGAATACATTTTTCCATCAAAATTAACTGAAACTGGAAAATCCGGTCACTTACTGTTTCTACTGTTTTTCCTGATCTGAATGTTGAGGAAATTAAAAATTTAATATTGAAATCTAAAGTTGTATCGGACAGGTAATCGAGTTTTCAACGAGTTAGTTCACTTTTTTTTGTTTGGAACAGTGGATAAAAATTCAAATTCATTTTTCAAAATGTACGTTAATTTGGAGTAAATTTTATATAGAGCACAATACGTCTAAACCGGACGGTTTCTCATTTATTTTTTGAGCTTTTTAGAATTCAGTCGCTTAAATGGGCAAGTAATTACAGAATGCTATGTAGATTAATTTTCGCTTTTAGAGTAACTCTACAAATAACGAAGTTTAGGCCAAAAAACCGAAAATTTCAAAAATGCGCTGGCGTTCATTTAGTTTTAAAGATACGAACAAATAATTTTAACAAACTCTTGGTAATTTTTTTCTCTGCGTCTGCAGGGCGCATTTATTTCAAGACCTCCTAAGAAAATGCATAACAGTTCCAAAAAATCAACTGAACTTATTAAAAAAATTGACTATTACTTTTAAAACATCCTGTAGAAAGACTATTAAAATTGAAATCACCCCTTTGGCACTACTTCAAAACTAATCCCATATGGTCCAAAAGCTGTAGGAAATTACTCGTAATTTCAATACATTCACATGTATGGTATATTTGTGAAAAGGTGAATATCTCATATAAGTGGATTTTCCTGATGGGCGAATGCGCGTAAGACTTCTTAAGAAAAGGGGCGAAACTAACTGTAATGAATTTTCTAGGTGGCGAATATGATTCAAAAATTCTAATTAGTTAAACCTCAACGTCTAAATTTTTATACTTTGAAAGAAAGTGGACCTGAATATTCGCTTACAAAAGCTCCTTCAAGATATTGGCCCCTGGGAAAAATGTTACAAAAAAAAAGGACTGTAAAACCAAAATACTGCATGTAATTGCGTGAAAAGGCGAATTTTTAATATAAGTGAATTTTCTTGGGGGTCGAACCTGGTAAGAATTTCGGGGCAAATCCTGACTAAACTAAAGCTAAAAGTATCGACGTGTAGTATTGGGAGCACGGAAAATACATCCTTCGTGAGTGGCAGCAACACTTTCTTCAGGATTAGTTTTATATTGTTGTTCTAAATGTTCTAAATTCATACGACAAAAAATTTTCTTTACTCACCAACAACCACCTGATGGTTACATACATTCCTTTTTAATATTACCCCAATAAAATCGCAATAACCAATAGCATTTAAATGCATATTCGTCTTTATATTTTATAACTAAATGTAATCCAACTTTCTTTTAACAATGCAGAATACTTAAATAAAATTAGCATATAGCAATTAACCGTTAAAAAATTCTAATATAAAATCAACCCGCAAATAAGAGCTTTTTATGCGGCTTTGTATGCAGAAAGTGCGGTTTTACATTCGCGCGCAAAGTATCAACACATAAAAAATGGGATGTTTTCCTTCTTTTAAGGAAAAGAAAATAAACCTCTTTCTTCTAACCAAACAGATGCTACTATGGGTTACATTTACAAACAATGTAGACAGAAAAAGCACCAGTAACTTAAATTTTTAACATTTCTATTAAATTCCATACGTATAATCTAATAATACGAACGTTTTTGTATTTTTCTGCATGCATTCTAGTCCAGCCACGGAATGTTTCCAAGTTAACGTTTTTTAATTATCAATTTCTGCTGTATTAAAAAATGTAACAACAAATACGATCTAATAAGATGGCCCTTAGACACAAAAATTGCATAATTTTGTTGTAAAGGGTCTTTTATCTAATTTCCTTCCTTTTAAAATACATTCTGTACAGGAAACTCCTAATTGTTCGATTCCATTACCTCTAAATCTGGTTTAAAGAATTTGATTTGATTCTTAATGTATCAATCAATGCAAAATAAAATGTAAACGAACATTCTAGAACCAGAAAAAGTTTCCATCACCTAAAATTCAATTGAAAGTACTCTCCGGCTCCGCTGACGCATAATAAATGCATCGTTTCTCTTAATGAAAAATCGACAAGTGCGTTTAAAATAAACCAAAAGTAATTTCAATTTCTCCTACTAATTACTTTCTTTCTACTATAATTTCAAAATAACGGAATGATTATGCCATAACTAAAACAGTTACACGCTTGTTTTGGCAATGTAATGTAAAACATCTTGCTCTATGATTTATTTGAAGGGCTTGGCCAGAAATTTAACACGTTAGTGGCAGCTCCATGGACATACAACCAGTACACCGCCTGTTAGTAAATAAGCGAGTAATTTAATTATCACTAACCTGAACAACATTCTCGAAGTGCTCATGACTTTTCTGATAAACACGCGCCTTCTGAAGATTTCTCCCAATTCCCGTATTTTTTCTTATGAAAACTTCGCCATGGTTCGTTAGCCAATCCAATACCTACAAATTTGAATTTGAAATCGAGTCCGTAAATCGAAAAACGAACAGTACCTGCTTTACATCCTCCTGAAACAAACGGAGCGCCAATCTCTGGTGAAGTTTGATCTTCTTCGCGTGCCATTTCTGTTCTAAGGCCCGATGGTGATTAAGGATCTGGTGAATGACGGCGAGCACGTGACTGGCGCCTTCGCTGTAATCGGCCGCCGGATTACCGCCGGGCCGATTTTCGTAATTGGTCGTATTTTCGCCCTAAAGTGAAATAAATGTCACGTCAGACCGGACAAAGCAATTGGAAAATATTAGGTAAATGAAAAAAGGAAAGCGTATAAGTAAAGCAAAAAATATTTACATGTTTCTTATCAATTCCCGGTTGATTGCAGACCTGCACCAGATGATCAAGTTGATAGAGAAACTTCTTACTTGTACTGTGAACCTACCACCAAGCAAAGAAAGAAGTAGTTAGAGATTGTATTAACAAATAGGTAGATCTAAGTTATATAAGATAAGAAATTCAGCTAATGTCCCCTGGAAGTTACGATAAAATAAAATCATACACTGTCAATATTTCCGTTGGCATCAGGAATTATTGATGTTGACAAGTTATGGCACACTTGTAACATTACATCTAATCCATTTAATAGAGTTTGATAGGAATTATAAACCTGAAATTGAAGATGAACTTAATTATGCACATTCTGTACAATAAAATGGGAATGCTTTGGTTCTTTCAAGCGAATTTCTTAAAATCGAAAATTCTGTATAGAAACGTTAGCTGCTGGCATTTAATTATGCACAAAGACTATTTAACATTCATAATGTGTACTTGTGCGAAAAAACGTTGGATTTCTAAAGCTTTTACAAAAATGCTATGCTATACGGTTGTATTTGCACCAATCACCTTTAAGTGGCATATGTCTCAAATATAAACAAAATCCAACATTTTATCTACAGACTTCAAGCTTTATTTTAAGTAAAGGATCTTTCAATAAAAATGGAGTGTCACATGTAACCTGTAACAACCGCCATATTTTTTGATAATTGAACATTTTGTTGGATATGGTTACTGAATTATTTAAAAAGTAAGTCAAAATGAAATACATGTTTTTTTTAAAATTTAAGCAAGCTACCTTTAACCTTTGAAAATTGAAAAGGGGAATTACGGTTAACCAATGGTTAAAAATGTACCACATTATCAATCTTAGACGACCGTTTTCAATATATCCTGGTGGAATAAATATATCGGGAATTTAAAATAAAATGAAGAGTTAGGGAACAAAAATAGGCACCAGTATGAGAAAAGTTCTTAAAAATGCCTTAGTATTCAATTCAGTTTGACGATTACTATTTTTCACAGTATAATGCAGATATTTGATGATTAATTTTCACTGAGCATTTTGAACGCACTCGTTCGAAAAATGATGTTTAAAAGAGAATGGGTTCCGTCCATAGGTAAGTAAGACGAATTCACGGCAAGGAACGGAGAAAGAAGTCAAAGAGTTAATGTAGCAAGGGAAAGGTGCGATCACTTGCCCCTCTGAAAAACCGTGCAAAAGCACATTGGAAACCATAAATAGCAGACACTAAACTTCCTATTGTCTTGTTTAAAGACTGAGGGAGCAGAATCGCTTAAGCGCGGTATAAAAAAAAGGATAAGAAAATATAATAATACTCGCAACAAACATTATTCTTCGGAGCAACTGAGTGAAGGTATACAATACAGGAAAACTACCCCCTTCATAAGAGTTCTGATAACAATAAGATGGATTTTAATCTGCTATGTAGGACATCAATGCTCTTCCATCGCGAGTTTCTTCCCAATTTTAATAGGAAAACACGCTGATTTGCATCTAGGTATTGCATTGTGTAAATGATATTTCCATTTAACAAAATATACCTACTTCGATAAATCTAAAGATTCTTAATGTTTCTACCGCAAGTGAAATTGTGTATTTGATGAATGTTGATCAACGCTCGATTTTCAGCATGTTTGGAGACCTATGAAAAAATTTGGGAAGATTTTCAAATAGGATATTGTTGTTTAAAATGTCTCCATCCTCACGATGGTAATATTTCAATTATCATTTCTTTTTTTTCAATTTTTATTGGACTCATCTACAATCAGTTATCGAACCTTTAATTCTCATAGGGCAGCGCTATCCCTTATTTTACCAGGAGATATAGGAGAGAATGCGTATCTAAAAGGATTTTTATAGTGGAGTGTTTTCGGCCGACCAAATCAAAATAATGAGGTTTAAATTTACCGTTTTTTAAGGAAGGCTCCATTTTGTGTGTAGCGAGTTTATTACTTAAATATTTACAATTAACCAAAGATTTAAGGTTAAACAATGGCTTAGACAATTTATTTATTACCATAGTAAAACCAGGTAAACCCGCCTGTAAACAATGCAGATGGGTTAAAGATTGTCTGAAGGCAGCTGGTTTAGATACGTGTATTTGTAAGAAACCCCACTCCGAGCCCCACTCGCAATTATTATTTATTTAAAAATTGTGTTAAGGAAATTCAACGAAATTATTGTTTTTCGTATTACATTCCTGGGGCTCTAAGAGTGCTTACAAAAATCAAATCTGTTTAATAAGATTTTTTTACGTATTAAGAACTGTTCAATCCATAACATACTAAAATTTGAAGGAATTTGGTCGAGTAATTTTATTTTCAATGAAGTTTAAAGTTGGTTGTGGCGCGGCAAACCTCTAAAAATGGTCACTTTGAAGCGTTATCGTACTGAAATAATCATTAAAAATATATTTGTTAGGCTTAAATATCGTAAAATCAAACAGGCTTTAATTTGATACCCGGTTCATTAAAATTGGGCCAAGGGGTTATTTTCTATTAAGCTTTAAACCGCACATACTTTTTAATCCGACGGAAGGCTACTTTTCCTGCCGCCCGCTCTGTACAAGAGAGGCCAGTAAATCGAGTTCGGGACCAAGGTATTTTGGGTACATTTCTTCTTTTGTCCGTCGATCGAAAGAGTCTTAAAAAGGAAAACTTAACCCTGAGTTTGCGCACTCTCAAAGTTCACCGTTTTTCCGTTCCGTTTTCCCTCGTACAACAATACAAAAAGGTACAATAGTTTATTTTTTGGTAAATTTTACGTGAAAAATAAAGATTAAGAAACATTCATGTTTTGGTTTATCTTTTAGGTATTATCCCCGAGAGGCCTACTCCAAGGTTTCTTTCATTTTACGTATTTTAATATATGAATTTTAATCGTCTTCGTCTCATCCTCATCTATTGTGGTGGGATCCTCTTCTAAGTAAGGGCATCATTGTTGGAAGGTCGTTAACATCTTCCTCTGTTTCGAGTACCTACGACATCTACTATTGTGTTTCCAACCCCATTCGTATCACCTAATACAAAAGTGGGTTGGAGAGGAGAAAAACGCCCTCGAATGGGGTTGAAAACACCGCGACATGGGTTTGGAACCGATAACCACAGAACAAGGGCTGATTCCTCTGTACTAATTGATATAATATCATGCGGTTGCATGAAGAAATGCGGCAACGCTTGTGGATGCCAGAAAGGAGGTTTAAAATTCTTCGTACTTTGCAAAATAAGTCTTAGGGAAATATGCACAAACATTAGAGAAGCACTACTGGATGACACATCTCGAAGTACACGAACATGATAACCTTCGAGCATTTGCTTTTGATCCAACATCATAACGACCTTCTAACAATGATACCCTTACCAAGAACAGGATCCCAAAAAAGAATACTATTAAAATTCATATATCGTAAAATGAAAGAAAACCTTGGAGTAGGACTCCCTGGGATAATACCTAAGATAGGCCAAAGAATCAGAAAAATTTATCAAGAATGTTTCTGAATCTTTATTTCTGCACTTAACATTTACCAAAAATACACTATTGTACTTTTATATTGTACGAGGGTGCTCGAAGCCTCAATGAAGCGCTTTCATATGCGATTAAAAAAAATAGAATCTCAGCGCGAAGCGTGAATGCAGCGAAGCGCCGGAAAGAACACCCTAAGACTCCTTTTTCTTCTCCATCACATGTTACATTGGTATAAGAATGTCTAACGACTGCTGTAATCACCGGCACATTGATATTAATCAAAAGTTCTATATGTATATGAACATTAAAATTTTATCTTAAACAATTATGTAGTTACCAAAGTAACGACATATAAAAAGCGCATTTCCACAATAGGTATTCTTTTTTCCGATAAAATTAGTTACCAACATTTTTCATATTCCAACCAACCCACACTCCATGTGGGGAAATTTATTGAAATTTTGTGTAGTGTTGCAACCTTCATGCTAGTCAGAAAGGGCGCTGATCGGTATGTCCAATTTGGTTTTATAAGTAGGACGAGCGGTTAAAATTTAAGAAAAATTATTGGTCCACAAATACGTGATATACGCTCTACGTATTTGTGGTTTAATTTTAGAAATGCACCTCAAGTTTTTTTATTAGCAGCATAAGAACAGTAGGTGTTACTGTCAAACTTTTAGAAAACGCACCTCACCAAAAAGAGAATTTTGCGCATCCAATAAGTATTAAAACATTTAATTGGCCAATATACACTATTTGGATACTATCTAAGCCACACCTGCACGATCAGGATTAAACCGAGGCCAATGGTTATGCTTTAAAACGCATTGTATTTATACAATCTCACAGGCATTTTCGAATTAAATATACATTTTAAATGTAAAGAATAATCAGGTCTCACTTTGCTTTTGGGGTCGTATAGCATTCCTCTTGTCATACTGTTTAATACGATAAAATTTAACAACTGACAAATGCAATGCAGCAAATCCGATTTAAAACTTCCATTACTGTTAATTTATAAAGGACAAATGCCAATATTATTTCTCTGTGAATGTGCAGTAAATAGGTATTTGTAAATTCATTTGCAGTTATATGTATTAAACTTAAATTAGGTAATAATGGCATAATTTATTGCAGATAATTTATCTGCTTGAAGAAAGACACAGAATTCTAAGGGCATCCTCCTACTCACCATTTTCTATTACTCATTTTGTAACATTTGGCATACTTACCTTATAGTTTAATTTTGATTTTGCTTAATATATTTAATACAAATTTTTACCAAAAAGCCAAAACACAATGACACTATTATGATAAAATGAATATTTGATAACCAACACAGATACAGAGGCGATCAAATCAAATCTTTTGATCACTATGGCCATTTTATAATGAACTTGTAAAATGATAAAGAAAAAAGTTATTATATCTTAATAAAATACCGCAACGCAAAATACAATTATTTGTTAAAGTAAAAAATACTTGTTAAATTAACAAACATTAATAAACTTAAGGCTAACTTTCTTACAAATTTCAATGCTCATTGCTGGTACAGTCGAGGTAAAAGTACCTGTACCCCATTGATTATACACACCAACCTGTATAATCAATGCTGTACCCACTTAACATTTTTCTAAATATTTAGGTGCCTATAGCAAAGAATACATAATAATTAGTTACATTTTGCTATAGTTAAATTTCAAAGGGCTCGTTATCGTTTATGATGAGATTAGCAGTTGAGAATAACCGGCTGATTCATATTCGGAAAGCTGAAACAGCAATTGAGACTTAGGATAACCTCAGAAAAGTTCACGTAAAAAGTATCTCAGATGCGGAAAATTTGCCGTCTTTGTCTTGAACACAACGGTGATATGGAGGCACACATCGCGAGGCTGTCAGTCCTGATGGAAAGGTTGAACGGAATGCAGCAAAATGCAGGTCTGGATGACCAGTGGCTGGTGGCGAGTTTGTTTAGCAGCCTACCAGAGGAGTACGAAACTCTGGTCACTGCTCTGGAGACGCGGCCGGATGCAGAATTGATCTCTTAAAGGGAAAATTGAGAGACGAGTGGAATCAAAGAGCAAATCGTGTGAATGGCAGAAACAGTGATGAGTTGATGACACAGGTTTGCATACTACGAACGGGAAAGAAACTGATAAGTGCTATTTTTGTAAAAAAAAACGGGGTCATAAGAAAGCAAGTTGTGAAACATGGAAGCAATGGTAGGAAAATAAGCAGAAGAACGGAATGAAAGAAGGAAAATTGAGTCGTTTCATCGCATTATTACTGTTGATAGCGTGCTGCTGGCGACAGAAATGAAATTGAACTTATAGTTAGTGAATAGACTATAGTGAGCAATGGATTCGTTGTGAACTTTGACGCGAAAGATGCTACCATTAGTCGAAACGGTACGGTGGCTGAACTGTTGAACAATTTGTGTTGAAACTGTACAGTGAGCATATGTCCTTGGTGACTAAGCCCACATTCGGCTCATAAAACTGCAATTGTTTCCCCATTGAATCTCAGCTAGTTTCCGAAGGCCGCCTTCTTAACATTCGAAAAAACTCACCCTCTACTGTACATTTTGTCTCATTACCGCGATGCTCAAGAAGGGAATGTCATAAATAAAGACGTTTGTTTAGCATTGATTAATTAACTTAACTAATAGTTGCATGGGCGCCGCTACTAAAGGGCAAGGAGGGGCCCGGGCCCCTCCCTGGCATTTGAGAATTCACTTAATCCATTTTAGAAAATGTTGAAAGCTCACAATAAAACCAGAGCACAGCCACCTTTTTCTGTCCCATCGCTGTTCGGTGACAAAGCAAAAGTAGGTAAACCTTTTATAACCTTATTGAGTTACCTCAATGTCCATAAAGTTGCCATATTATACCTACCTATAGACTATAGAGATTAAATTAAACCCGCACCGCGCACGTTAGTAAGGGAGGTATTGCATTGGGGTAAAAAATGATCCCCCACTTTTTTTACGGAAATATACGTTTTGACGCACCAGAAATCCGAATCCAACAAAATTTTGATGATGTCGGTCTGTCTGTACCCTTATAGTAACCAAATTTGGTACACATATTCTTAGATATAAAAGGAAGAGCTGAAAAGCTTTCGGGGAGAATTGCGCAAGTGTGCTAAACTCTTATTAACGGCTTAAGCAATTGGAACCAAATTTGGTACACAATATATTGTTAAACCTAAAAGAACGTAGAATGCGCATGCGCCGGTGTGCGGGTGGTATCTGTGCTAACCACAGCAAATTTTATAATATAGTGCTATTAATTTCATTTTTTTTTTCAGTGAACTACTGTAACTTGTTACTTTTGTTCTTGTTTTGTTTTGTCTCTGTGATGTACCTATTACACTATTACACCAATGGTTTTTGTTGGATATATGATTTAGCTGCGTATCCTATTGAGTGACTAATTTAAAAATAGTTAGGTAACATTTTCTATTCCAAAAATGTAAGGGCCCCTCCCTAGCGCATTTTCTTCCGGCGCCCTTGAATAGTTGCATAAATGTAATGGTGTATACCAGTGTTTCTCAACCTTTTTTTACTGGTGGCCTACTTGTGAATGTTATTTATCTCTGTGACCCCCCTCCGCGTTACACTGGAGGGGTATGGAGTCATACCCCGGGAAATTTTTGAAATTTTAGTAGCTTTATACGCGTTTTTAGACTCATTTACGCCTTTTTTAGACTGCACAATAATGTATAGAATATAGGCCATTAAATGTGACATTTCAATATTTTAAACGTTTTAGAATTCAGAGCAAAATTAAAAACGATAAATATAATCCTGGTAGGCGATAGAGGGTAGAGGGGTGTAAGTCGTGTTTAACACAAACAATTTTCTGGTACCGCGTCTATCAATTGCATTGTGCGTTTGCCATTTATAAACATTTAAATTTAACGTTGCGATTAGGATTTAATGCTTTTTAGGAAAGGCACACTGAGATAACACACACAAGGATAAGGGGTTATTGTGGTATAATTTTTGTACTGACCATTTTTGGTAAATTTATTTAATTTTAATATTTCAGTAAAATATTAGTAGAAGTGAACTTTCGTGGACCACTGAAAAGTTTCCGTTCTTCTGCCTTTCGTTCGTGGCCCGAAAGAAATAGGTCATGTCCCCCGTTGAGAAACACTGGTGTAAACGACCATAAATGTTTTTGCAGACGTTAACCAATAAAAACTGAACAAATGCTTATCCCCTTATCACTTTTTTTTTTAAAGAAAATGATTGTTACCTTTCCTTTAATTTTCAACCGCTTGAACACTCAAGGCTTTGATTGTGTAAGTTTCCTTTAATTCTGAAATGGTGTTCCATTATTTTTCTTTAGCTCTTTCGAATTCGAATGTCGTATCTAGTGTCAAAATACCGTGAAAACAATATTAAAAGTTATACATGACGTGGGTACGGCGTTATATAATATGGAAAATGCGCTAAAGTACCTTTTTACTTGTAACTTACACTCAGAAATTTGTCCCTCATGGTACCAAATTACTTACCTCTGTATACGCCTGGCACATGGACTCGTACAAATTTTGATGTTGATGTATCGAATTTTCTAGCATGATTATTTCATTTGGTATGTTGCTCGCCTCACACGCCCCATTCCACGCCGGCACGTTATCGACGTACTGTTCCGCCTTGTGATGAAAAATGACGGAAAGTGCCAAAACGGCGGTGCGCTCGTCCAAACCCGACGCAAAATCTTTCCATGTTCTATCCAATCTTCCCGCAACAGTTCGAATGTGGGTTGCGGCGTAATGGCCGCCTTCAATCAGCCGACTGGCCACCGATAATATCCTATTAATGTTCACGTAAACGTTCATCGAGCTCATAGTGAAATGCTGATGTTCTTCTTGTAATTGCTTAGCTATCTGATACGAATGACCAATTTCTACATAATTTAATAGGAACACATCACGATTATGGCAAATCCAATCAAACATCTAAAACACAAAATTAGTGTCACTCCTCAAGACGACAATCGACAAACCTTTTCACAGTCCTGTTCAAAGAGCCTAAGTTGAAAACACTGATCTAATTTTAATTTCTTATGATGCCACAGCTGAAGGAGGTGTTGCTGCGAAGCACGCACTCCGTCGAGATTTTGTAACACTAAAGCTTTGATATCTGCATCCGAGGTACCGATTACGGGAGAATCTGGATCCTTTCGTTCATCACCACCTCCTTGACCAGTGTCGTTTCCGCAAACCCTTTGAAGCAGTCGTTGTCCTGAAATTGAGACACGAATGATTTTTGTGCTTTCAAGCAAATATTTAAATCGCAACGTATCAAATTAAGGGCAGATCTTTTCGCACAATTTATAATTTAAAATTGCCTTACAACGTGGAGTGTTTCATTTTATTAGAAAATGAATGATTATTCAGGGGTATCCAGTTGTAGGAGCTGTGTGAAGACTATTTTAGTTAAGACAAAATGTGAAACTAATACCTTATTACAAAAAGTGTAACGTACCTAACAAATTTATGTCCTCTACAGGCGCCTTCATGATTTTCTTCTTCATTTCATTGTGCATATCAATTCCGTGCTTAGCACCACTAACATCCTCGGCAAAGTCGTTTCTAGATAGATCTTCTTGTAAATCGTCAAGTCTATCTAAAATATCCGCGGCTTGCCATACAAACTCTTCCACAGCCAAACGTGTTTCTAACCAGCTCGCATGGTCGTAGCTTAGTAATCCGTCCAGATCTGACGTTAATTGTGAGGTATCTATTATTTTAGGCAATGCTTCTACGCTAATCATATTTGTCTGCAAACAAGAATGGCATTAGAATGAAGCGTTTACTAAAGGGGTACTAACAACTAGTTTAGCAGACTTGCAGTCACATAAAAACGTCAAATGCGCCTTCGTGTTCAAAGTAACATTTTACACAGTATCGGCACTAGTAATCATATTCAAATTACAAAAAGACTTACCTCAAATTTGTACTTATGAGAACCCAAAGATGTCCTTTGCTTCTGCCAAAAATTATCCGGTTTGACAATAATGGCCTGGTAGACAACACCCTGAGGAAAATGTTCGTGAAGAGCTTTCAGTATCGGTTTAACGGTAGACCAGGTCGCACCTCGCATATCCACTAAGACTGTAAATCCCAACGCTCTCGCCTCGTCGCTGAAAAAAATATCAAAGTTAAATTACACGAAAAAGTAAGAATGGTCACAAATACAATACGATTATATTAATATAACCTACATTGGACAGCAGAAAAATGGAGATCGATATTAATTTTCCAAATCACAAAGATGTCGATATAAATGTTTACTATGTTCTTTTGTTGTTTTGTAATCGTTTTGTCCAAAAGCTTTTCAGCCCTTTCTTTTATGTCTAAGAAATCTGTACCAAATTTGGTTCCAATCGGTTAAGCCGTTTAACCGGAAATGACAGTACAGACCGACATAATCGAGATTTTGTTTGATTCGGGTTCCTGGTACTTCAAAACGTGTATTTTCGTAAAAAAAAGTGTACGGGGAGGCAGTCCTTTTTTACCCCAATGCAATACCTCCCCTACTAACGTGCGGGTGGTAAAAAGAATTAACCTTATAATATTAATGTGAATGCGTTATTCCATAAAGGGAGAAATTAAGATTTTGACTGATCAAAATCGGTCTAAACGGTCAATTGACCGAAAATGATTTGACTGGTCTTTTTATATAGATTGGAGATCTGGAACCCTATTGTTTTTGGTGAAAATCGGGTCCGTTAACTTGACCCCCCCCCCCCACTGAGAGATTTCATAGTCATATTATTTTGAAATGAATGCGCTCGTTATGCGCTCATATGCGCCACCGATAATAACTCTTGCGCCATTATCGTTTTTTAGAAATCCGAAAAAACATTTGGGGGGGGGGGGGGTATAGTGTTTCTGAAACACTATAATGGCGCCAAGATTTTTGTTTACGGCGCATTTTAGCGCATGATGAACGGTACGATGTACTAGAAAAAACATGTTAAAAAACGTAACTTCTAAAAACGTTAAGTTGGCCCCCCCACTTTTTGAAAATTTGTCACGGCTTAACCGTAATGGCGCTAGCTTTAATTAAAGTGGCGCAATTGAGCGCATAACCAAATCTATCAGGTGACCTAGTTACAAGGGACAAAATACGTACGGGGGGGGGGGCTACGTTCACTTGCCTCCCCCCCCCAAATGTTTTTTCGGATTTCTAAAAAACGATAATGGCGCAAGAGTTATTATCGGTGGCGCATATGAGCGCATAACGAGCGCATTCATTTCAAAATAATACGACTATGAAATCTCTCAGTGGGGGGGCCAAGTTAACGGACCCGTGAAAATCGTGTCCGAGCTATCGCGATTTTTCCGAGCAAACGTTGTTACCTCATTGCATGGCACAATTTTGAAGCTATCGAGTGCAAAATTTCTGAGTAATTGCCTATTGTTAATCACCTTATTATTTTTGGAGAAAATAAAAAAAAACGTTTCAAAGTTTTCACGATTTTCCTGATTTTTCCGAGCAAGAAATGTTGTCTTTTCATTACAGGGCCCAATTTCGAAGTTATCAAACACAAACTTACAGGTTACTTGGGTATCGTGTACCGGCGCCCTATTGTTGGGCAGTGTGACCAAAAATTAAATTCTTCATATGCAGGGTGTTCACTGGAAAATTGAATTTATTGATATGTGGAAAATGTCTTCTTAACGATGCTGGCGCTTGTCATTTATTACGGTTTTAGCGTGGGTAACTGTTCTTTCTCTTCACATAGTCTGAATTTCCTTTCTTTCCACTCCTCCTTTCCCCTCCACTCGATTCCTCATCTGAACCACGGTATTAGTTTAATGTTTTTCCTTCCCACCTCTTTTCTCTTTCTGGTGTTGAATTTGTGTATCTCAGTCCTTTTTTTGTAAGTTCATCCTTTTTCCACCACATCTCTCTTGTGTTCACTCTCGTTGGCAAATACTCTTTCACCAATTCCTTCTCTTGCTCTCCTTTCCTGGAATCTTACCGCCCTGCGTCCCGATTCTATCCTTATCTTCTCCATTTTTATTTCTTCTTCTAATATGTAGTTTTGTGTCCTTCCGTCTAGTCCCAGTATCCCCTTCCCAAAACTCATAATTTTCGATTTTTCGACATTTCGTTGATCTTTTTTTCCTCTGTTGCCATTATTACTGTCGTACTATCTTACTTCTTCCCACTACGATTCCTCCACTTTGACCATGTCTTAATATTTTCTTCATATCTCAGACTCCTTCCCTTTTATCCTTCCCCTACTTCTTGTTTCTCCTTATAACGTCTTAATTCTGTTCTTATTTTCCCATCCTCTATCATTTTCCATACTTTTTCTCTCTTGTTACTCTGGAAAACGCTGCCTATTATATTGTATATTGTGACCATTTGTTTTATATGTAGCGATTGCAAATCCAAGTTGTTTTTTGATTGGGTCCGTTTGGTAAAAGCAACTTATGAAAACCAAAAAAATCTCTTTTATTGTTATAATTTATAAGCCTACATTTGAGTGATTTACTAAACGATCCCAATTTTCATATCGTAAATTATCCGTATTTTTATTGGGAATTTAATTTTCTCTTCTTTAATTCCTTGTGGAATTTTAACAGGGTGTTTTAAATATTTTATTTTATTATTAGGATGTAGAAGATTTAGGAATTAGAAAGGCTTAGGGTTAGTGGCCACGAATTATAAAAACATGGTAAAAAGAGTTAGATTTTGTGAGGTGTAATGGCGAAAATTTTGTAATACAGTGGAAGTAGATTCAATTTGATTTTATTAATATATTGCTATGAATATTACATTGGAATTATTATTATTTATTAACCAGGAAGATGTAACCACACCAAATTTAAAGACTCAAATAAAAATGGAGCTGTTTCTTCATTAATATTTGCTTTCATGCTAGACGGAAATTATTGAAAATGTTCATTAATGAAACTCAGATAGGAAAGATGGATATATTCGGATCAAATTAAGTGGTATATTACCACAGATTTTTCATCGCATTACTACAGCAATAGGTCATTAATTTCAAAATTCATGGCGCGCTCTCAAGCTTTTTGTCCATTATACAGTGTGTCTAAGATAAGTCAAATTAGAGAAAAATTGTGCAATTAAAGAGTTATAATAATGTAAATATTTCAAAATATGGCAGACGTGTTCAACATATGCTTACACGTTTCTAAAAAATGTTGCACATTTTCAAAATTTTGAATTTCCATCATTTCCAAAACATGTGAAATTTCTAAAACTTTATATAGCACTTCCAAAATCAAACAGAAAAAATTGTTTATAGTTGTGTTCAATATTTCATACTTTTAACAGCCATCAAATGATTTTTGTAGTGATTAATACCAGATGATGAAAATCTAGCTGAATTTTCAAAGAAGCGTAGCCTTTTAATTGTTAATAAAGGTCCCCTAACAGTTGCGAAAAGCGGCAATTTGATTAACTTGCCAATTAGTTTTTAAATATAAAGCAAGCTAGTAAGCCAGTATACGGATCTAATAATTGTAACGATCTATAAACATAATTTAATTACGGGAAAAGGCGTAGGACGAGATGTACCCAAACTGAAATTTACGTCTGTCGTCGTACATTCAATTAGGTTACAACACACTCCTACATTGCAAATTGGACACCTCCGCCAATAAACTGACGTGTTTAATTCAAGGGAACATCATTGAAGGGTTTGCTGTACTATGGGATCAATATCCGATCAAACATCATAATCACGTACTACCGTATTTATTATTATTTTAGACGCTGTATTGATTTTTCTAAATGGGGTACTTAAAAGCTGCTTTTACGTTTGGAATTTTTCGCTTGTCACCTGTTTTAAATTGAAAACGCGTAAAATTTGATGATTTTCAAGCGCAGGGGGTGCTGAACGTTAAATTAAAACCGGAACGTCAATCCCATGTGCAGTCAGGCCAAAATTGCTGTTTTATTTTATTTCCTCTTGTATACTTACAACTGAAAACTTGTATTCTCTGTGTCAATCGCCGTATTAACCCGTATTGCTTCCTACCAAACGTCAGACAAAATTTCACGGGTGATTTGTTGGATGAATTTTTTGTGAAATATGAATTCACCGATTCAGGCTTCTATTTTAATTCTTATTGCAAGAGCCAGGCCACCGCAACTTTTCCGGGTTTGTCGACAATATATTTTTGCATTGGGAATCACGAATCAAGAATATCATTAAGCTAATTTCTATCAAGATAGTCAGAATTATGTATGTTGGGAACAATGGGCACAATATTGCACCTACCCCATTACTCCCCAAGTCCATTTTCATAGAAAACAATCTCGGCGTCCCGATTACTTTCTGCACGTTCGTTACAGAATATACAGGAGTATGAATAGGTACAATTTTTGCGACTGGGAAATGGAAGAAAATTATATCTATTTTGTGATGAACATTTCGGTTTTTCTTTCACCTGATTGGCTACGGCTTGTAGATACGGTACGGTCCAGTAATAATCATGAAAATCATTACCGAATATGCAGAAACCAGCCTTTTCAGTGTCTACTTAGAAATATTTTTTGACAGCTCTCTTTCTGGAGGGTTCAATAAATTTACAATCGGAAATTTACACGGAGGCAATTTAATACAATATTCCCGGTTCTCCCGCCCTGATAATATAATAACTTATTATGAACAAGGAAACAAAATAGAACACTAAGTACAAGGACAAATCCAGTTTTTCTTACGTGATTTATGATATCCTTCCAAATTACTCTAAAACCTTCTTAGTTATTTGTCTTCTTTTGCTTTAGGTTTAACAATGTTGAACTCTCCTACGTATTAGATACTAAAATATTTATTTGAATCTACTTCATGACAGAACAATGCGGTTAAAAGCTTCGTCTCGTCTTTCCTTTTAGTTCTTTCGGCTTCTCTTACTATTTGTGACAACTTATCGTAGACATTTTCAAAACTGTCTTTGCAAGTTGAGATCTGAAACATGTGGGTCTTTTGTTTAAGTCGCGCCTTCATACTAAAATAAATTCTTGTTCCTCAACTTTTGTGGTGGTTTTCGAACATTTTGGGCGAATTTAAAACGATATGGCAAAATGAAAACAGCCTGAGGATTAAAGATAAAAACTAACTACCCCGATAAATTTCAATTACCTACATATATG